GGCCCCCCCAGTGGTTCTGGCTGCCGGTCTGGGAGGGCATGGGAGCGGGTATATATGCCCCTGGATCTACACGCGACGGGTTGAGCTGGGCTATGCTCCGGAGGTCGGCCCCAGCCACCACCTCGGGGCTGCGCTCTGTGGGGCAGGTGGAGCCAGGGCTGTGCTCCAGGTGCCTAGCCCCAGCTGCAGCGCAGCCCTGGCTCTGCCCAGCCTGCAGAGCGCAGTGGAGCAGGGGCTATGGGTGGGCTGCAGCCACCCTGAAATTCCCCACAGCCCCTGCCACTGGCCCTGATCCAGATGCCTGTGCCTGCCCCGTGCCCTGCCACTACTTGCCTAGTCAGGGCAGAGTAGGACAAAGCTGTGGCTTGTCCAGGAGGCATGGGGAGGCTGGAGTGGCTTCCGCTGCTGTGCTCCACTTGTCTGAGGTCGCACAGCAGCACTGTCCTGCACCTCCCCACCCCAGATGGGCAAGTGGTAGGAGGACATAGCCCTGCTCCCAGCGCCTTCTGCCACCCAGCCGGGCTGGGCAGCCCGGCCCAGCCTGCCCCGTGCAGATCCGGAGGCACATGCCCGCTCCCCTGCCCTCCTGGACTGGCGGTGAGAGCTGGAGGAGCCACTGAAAGAGCAGCTCCTGGACCAAAGGTGTGCGGTGGTGCGCAGTGGCGGGAGCCCCCCTCCCCGAGTCCTGTGCTCCCCCGCAGCTGGGTAGCTTTTCCCAACCCCAGTCCCTCTCTTGCTGTGGGAGCATTGTTCTGCACCCCCCACGCCTCTTCCCTCCCCACTCCACCCACCACAGCAGACTTACCAGCTGAAGGCAGCTGTGTCCAGCATTGCGGAGGACTGCTGCCTGTGTAGTCTATGGCCGAATCTCCTAATTTGTGCTGAATCGAATCAGGACAGTGATTTGAATCACTGAATCGAATCACTGTCCCTCCGAATCAGTCAAACCCGAATCTGAACCAAATACTTGCTGCTTCGCACAGACCTAGTGCCCATTACAGCTATACTCCATCAACACATGGCTTAGCTCAAGGGCTGTTTCAGCAGTTTTTGAACCCTCACTGTATTTAACATACAACCTTTAGCGGTGCACCACTACATTAGTCCATATTGGATTAGCACCAATAAAAGGAAAATTGACATTATCAGCAATCGGCTTTTTTTTGGCTGACTTGGCCGATAACGTTGCTGATAAATGCCATATACATAGATGTTAGGGTCGGAAGGGACCTCAATAGATCATCGAGTCCGACCCCCTGCATAGGCAGGAAAGAGGG